CATTATTTTTACATGTACCATCAAATCAGATCTGACTGGTACAGGAGGAGATTGCCCCCTCCTTCTCCAGCAGAGCATCTGGTGGATTTGAACCGTGTATCTCTGGGATTGCAGTGCGGCGTCTTGCCACTAGGCCACCAGAGCTCCTATCAAATAGCATTTGATTGTGCTTTTGTGAAACCTATACTTGGACCAGGAGGAAGACCTCAGAGCAAGGAAACACTGTGTGGTTCAAAATCAGGAAAGGAGCGTGTCAGGGATGTGTCCTGTCTCCATACATTTTCAGTATATATGTGGAACAGATCATTCAAGAAACTAGACTTTATGATGAGGAATGTGGCATCAGGGTTAGAGGAAGACTCATCAACAGCCTGCATTATGCAGATGACACAACCTTACTTGCTGAAATTCAAGAGGACCTGAAGGTATTTGCTGCAGAAGGTAAAGGACTGTAGTCTTCAATATGGATTGAAACTCAGCATCAGGAAAACAAAGATTGTCCCCACTGCCAATTGGCAAAACCTTGATAGATGGAGAAGCAGTTGAGATTGTTAACGGTTTCAGCTTGCTCATCTCTACAATCAATACTCTTGATGCCAGCAGTCAGGAAATCAAAAGATGAATTGCATTTGGGAAGTGTGCTGTCCAAGACCTCTCCAAAGTGCTGGAGAGCAATGATATCATTCTAGAGACTAAGGTACAACTAACTGTTCCAGGCCATGATCTTCACAGTTACTTACCATGCCCCAGAGAGCTGGACAATGACTAGGGATGATAGAAGAATCAATGTCTTTGTGTTGTGGTGCTGGAGAAGAGTATTGAACATACCTTGGACTGCCAAGAGAATTAACAGGTCTGTCTTGGAGAAGGTGAAACCAAGTTTCTCTTTGGAGGCAAAGATTTTAAAGCTTTGTCTCACATACTTTGGGCACATGGCCAGGAACAACCAGTCATTGGGGAAGGACAGCATGCTTGGAAAGGTAGAGAGGTCAGTGCAGGAGAGAAAGATCCTGGGTGGATTGACAAGGCAACTGGAGTAATGAGGGTGGTGGTAGGTGTGTCAGAGTCAGGGAGACTGGGTCAGGTTAGGACGGGGTTCAGAGCTGGTTGTACACAAGGTCACTACGAGTTCCAGTGACTCACAACACATAACAGTGACGTTCCTGTTTGATGCTAAGGAAAATCTTAGAGTA